TAAGTGAAGCTTCATACTGCTACCAAATAGAATGATGCTTTACCTTGGTTGAGTTAAAGGTAATCTACCAATCAATAAAGGCAATGATAATATTGTAGATGGGTAATATATATCACACAAAAATATACTTAACATTTTTGTTCCAACAATTGTGTTGCATAACTAAACTAAAGGATAATATTCATAATATATATATTATTTTTCACGAAAGAACAGTAGAGAGTCTCTACGAAAATCAATCATTCTTACGCTCCCACCACTATCGAGCCAGGTGTAATTTTGCGGACTACGAGAGCGATAGCGAGTGATCCACAAGCTCAGTCTGCGTGTGCGAAACACTTCCTTTCTCTCATGAAAAATAGTGTAGGTAATATTTTTAAATAAATTANGAATTAAGTGTGTATGTATGTATTTTTTAAATAAAGTTATTATGTTTGTACAAAGTATTGTAGTAACATTTTACTCAATGTTTTCATAAATAACATAATAAATTTATATTCATTTTTTACTGGAAATGCTTAGTTTGGATGTCAATTTACAACCACAATCCTTTGTCTTGAAACTTAGTTTTTAATGGCATTGAGTATATCCTGGTGCTTAAAAAATTAATTTATGGCTACTACTTCATGAAGTGTAATTTGACCTATCAATTTTTGAAGATAAGGTAATTTGGTATTGTATGGATTTATATCAGTTTGTGTGTGATTTTTCTAACCCAACCTAATCTACCAAGATGATAGCATAGTTGGTTTTTAGATAGTGTACAACCATCATAGTAATTTTAGTAAATTCATTATTCTTTAATATAATAATATTATAATTATATAGCTCACTGAGGGTCACTGTTTTTTTATATTAACAATTATATCATAAATGCATAATTTATAAAGGTTACATTAATTTTCAGATGTCTATTTTGTTTTACATTTTAATTAACAGATTTCTAATTTAAAATATTATATATTTTAACACTTACATAATATTCATTATCATAATATTGCATATATATATATAGATACTGATTCAAAAGTCTAAATGTTCTTCATTAGGTATTAAATATTTAAATTTTTCCATCACGCATTCATAATAAATACTTTAGGCTGATTCATGTTCTATTAATCAAGCTGGGTTTCAGAATCCAGTTTACTCTTTAATTTTTTTGGGAAAATGTTGGAGTCCTAACAATTCAGAATGCTAAATTATCAGATTATCAGAATATTTTTTATCTTAGAACTCTTTATTTTCTTGCACCAGCTGTCTGATAAATAATTGTTCTGTTATTTTGTTTTTCAGCACATCTATTTTCTAACAAAAATCATTATAATTATTTATGAGCCATTAAACATTTTGTCTTTTGGTATTTAATCTCTTAAAAAATTGTTTTACATAATATTATTTTTAAACAATTATATCTTAATTTGTCTACTACTTTGTGCAAAGGATATTTAAGCATCAAATCAGTTTGGGTCACAGTAGTAATATACTTGTATTTACACCACTTACTCAAATAGACATCTATTCTAAATCTATTTTCTAGAATAAAACTCCAGTAGTGCATATTCACTAATATTTGTCAATATAAGTTGAATTATAATAATGATAATTTAATAATCCAGTCTTGGACAAAATAAAATAATTTTATTTCTGAATTTCTTAGGGCAACTGGAACAAATTGTTATTGTCATTGGGTTACTAAGTATAAACTTAAGCAGCAGGCTGCAAATTATGCATGGACATAAGTCCTTCATATGTCTATAATATCATTTCATGACCATATTGGGATCTAACTTATCTATTCAGAACTATTATCATTTTTAATATTTCCTGCAGCATAGTATTATATACTATACACAATATGTATTTACACACCTTACAAAAATATACATTATATAGTATAATTTGATGTAACTTATGTAAATGGTACACTTAAAAGAATTATTCAAAACAATTTTGTTCTTCAGAATAGTTCTTCAATTCTCAAAGAATAATTTGGACTTTTTACCAAATACCCATGGAGATAGTAAATAATTTGTGTGACAAAAACAGCACAAATAACAAAGTACTACAAGTATTCAAATGTAAATTGAAAAGCATAAAACTAAAATTGTATATAATTTAATTATCTTATTCAATTGATTTATATATAATAATCAAATTATTCATTTGAATAATAAATATTTTAACTTATTTTTTGTTATTAATAATTGTTAATCCATTTATACTGTACCAAATCGACTAATTTAAAAATATGTATTATATAAAAAAAAAAACTTAATTAAAATGTTATAATTCATAGTTTCTATGATATTGAATAATTTGATGAGTTAAATTTTATCGAGGAAAATGTCCTCTGTATAGATTATTCATAATATTATAAATAAGTAGGTAATTTAGTTAAGACAGAAATTAAGGAACAATTACAAACATGGCTTGTACAAATGTATAATAGAAAAAAAAAAACAATATTGTACACTATCATTACTATTTGGTATTATATCAGCTTAAGTTACATTAGTTCAACATAGTAGTACATTAGGTATTTATAAACTAACAATACTTAGCATATCAATATTCTTATGTTTACAAATTAAATAGATTTTTGTTTTAAAAACTTTTGTAAAATTGTAATTATAATTTAATTATTTTTATAGGAGTACCACCTGCTTGGTGGTCCTGGAGAAGTTTTTGGACATTATTCAGTTCCTGATTCCATTAATATCATATTGCTATATTAAAGCAGATGAAGCTTCATACTACTACCAAATGTAATGTTGCCTTACCTTGTTTGAGTTAAGGGTAATAACCTAACCTAACTTAACCTTGTTGTCTTTAGTAGACTTACACTTAAACATCATTTCTCTTGAAATTGCTAATTTAATCAGCTAATTCAATGTTTAATTTTTTTGGTCCAGTAACCTAACAGACTAATTTAAAATTATGTGGTATAAAAAAAAAAAAAAACAAACAAATTAAAATATTATAATTCTTAGTTTCTATGAAATAGTTTCTTAAATACTATTGAAAGAAAAAAGAAAAAATATGAACAAATGTTATATTATTGATTACTTTGATTTAAGTTCCTAAAATGTGATTTATTATTTTGTTTCAATTTTATTAATAATAATAATAACTTTATTCACTTTTTTAAAGAAGTTTTCCACATTAATTGCTTTTTATTATTTTAATTAAGTGACTACTTTGCAAATAAGAAAGCTTTGTTTTAATAGAAATATTATTTCAGATTGAGCACATAAATGAGATGACCAGCCGATTCATTTAAAGTAGATCTTTAAATAAAATATTCAAATATACTAAAAGAAGATAAGAAAAATAATGAAATGGAAAAGGTACACATTTTTGAGTTTAAAATATTATTAGTACAGAAACAAAAACCAGATTTTATGTTTTAGGGAAATGGATATACAATTTGCTTACTAATAAGAAAAATTGTTGAATTTAGCAACAATTTTATACAATTGGGTTTGGCAGATACTAAGTGGAAAATTAAAATAAACAACACACAAGTTATAAGATAAGCAGCATACTATATAACGTTTTCTAATTTAATTTTTGTTTATTTAATTTTATAAATTTATCTAAAAAAATGTATAATTTAAATTCAAGTTAAATATTGTAATAATTTAATTTTTGTTTTTTTTTAATCATTCATTTTTTTTTCTTTTAATACTGCCATTGTAATGTATTTAAAATTCTTAATTTAAAAACCAAAAATAGTTTTTATTTTTGTATAATATTTAAACAATTTTTTTATTGTTATACTTTCTAGAGATTCCTCTATTTTATGTTTTAAAATTACTAATTAACAAATTGTTTTTATAAATTTGAAAATGGAAATTTATTAATATATTTTGGAATAAAATGTTAGTGTTATAAATATTTACTAACAATGATCCTTAAATTTCTACAATTTTCAAAGCTTATAAAAATTGATCACATAATTATTTACTGTGGACAAGTTTGGGAATCAATTATTATTACTTAATAATAATAATAATAATGAAACTGATTTAAATTATCTTTAACTTCAGAAAATTGTTGAAAATAACAATTCATTGTTAATATATGTCAGTTACACCAAAATGTTGTTTTAATATATATTTATAAAATAATTGTCTTTGATTATGTAAACACAATTTTAGAAAAATTTTGTATTTTGTATTTTTAGTTTGAAAAACAATATAAAATAAGGAATCATAGTTTTTAATTAAGGTCTCAGTAGTTTATATTCAAATTTATTTCTATAAAAAGTATATAAAAAAGTTCATTTTATACATAACATAGTTAAAAATTACTGATATATTGAATTTACTAACCCATCTCTATAAATGTGCCTTTTTTTTCATTCATTTGAAATCTGTACCTTTTTCCTGAAATACTTTTATATTGTTAATTTTCTTCCATAGTATAATCATTAGGTCAACTGCTAATAAGAGAGTGAAAATAAAAGTATCTGTGCCCCACATAATTCTTTTCATTTTAGATGAAAGAATCAGATGATAATATTATTACTGAATAAAAATATACAGAACTGGTGGTATCATTTAAACTAATTGTAAACATAGGTTGTAATTTAATTATATATATTTTAAATAACCTGTGAAACTAAAAATTATTTTATATACAAAAATAGTTTTATAATGGATTCCACATTTTCTACGATTAACATGTAGCATAAGCCATACAGAATTTAATGTTTTTAAAATAATTTTAAAAATATACACTTTCAAAATTAATAGCTTAATTGTTTTTCTCTCTTTGTAAGAATAATTACATTTACAAAAACTTTATTGTACCTGTCACAAAAAAAATGAACATTTTCATGAGTAAATTTATTGTGCTTACTACTGTAGTTATAATGAAAACTGTTGAAATATGGAACTAAATGTAAACAAATTCAAACCAAACATGTTTTAAATTTTGTTTAACTGTTCTTTTTATAGTTAACTATACTTATGTAAATTTGTTACTATATTTTATTTTTTTACTATCTATTGACTCAAACAATAGAATATTTTTTTGAAATTATACTTCCTATATGAAATGCAAATATAATGCATTATAAGTATTTTGATGAAAATTTCAGGTTTATAGGATTATAAATTATAATGGAAAAAAAAACAATGAATATTAGCAGACTGTTTTTCTGTAAATATTTTTTGTTTTTTTTACTTTTGGATTATTTATGTTTATTGTCTTACTTTTATGAGCCTGTTGATTGTTAACAACATTTTTACCCAAAATATTTCTCTTATAATAAACTTTATAAAGGTTTTAATAATTATTTATATAAACAATTTCTTGACTTTCTTTCTTCCTAGAATTTTAAATTTTTTTAGTTTATTTAAGAATTGTATGTGAATATAATATTTTTTGGCTTCAGCTCAAATATTTCAAACAAGTCTGATCATAAGTCAAGTTATTCTTGATCACAAAAAGAAAGTTAAGTTTAATATAGTAGTTTTTTTTCATACCCTTTTTATGTTAAATTATGATTAAAATCTTACAAATTATATTTCAAAATATGTTTAACTAATATTGTTAGAACTGTATTTTGTAAATAATTTATTGTTATATATAGTTACATATTTATAAATTAAATAACTATGTACCCTATTTTTATTTTTAAATATAAAAAAAATTAATTACGATTAACTAACTTTAGTCTGAAATACTGTATATTTCATATAAAACTTTTTTAGTTTTTACATCATAGTAATAATTTTTTTACCCACAGTATTTTTCAATGATAAAAATTAAATTAATATCACAATTTATAATTTTTAATATGAACATCAATTTAAACATATTATATTTATAAGTACCACTTATTATTATTAATTTTATAATGAAAAATACTTACCTAATTTTGTTTCTGTATATTGCTGGTCCCATAGCAACAATGACCAAGGTAAAATATCCATCAATATTTGATTGAACCAAATAATTGTTCAATAGACCATTTTCCATCTAATAGATATATTATAACATTTTATGTATTATTTACCTAGATAGTAGATACCTATTTTTATTTCAGTAATACCTATAATATTACCTATGGTATAATACTTTGCAACAGCCATACCCGTATACCTACTTATATGTTTTTCCTTTATTAATAATCAATTGTTTAACAACCTTAAAGTATACTAAATGGACATACACTTGGACATACATGACACAAAAATATCCTAAGTATGTCCAATTACAACAAAATTTCAAAATATATTTATGGTTTTTAAATAAATTATAGACAGACACATAGATTTTTTTTCTAATAAAAATATGTATATTGAAATATAAATGAATATCGAAACTATATATTATAATATACGGAATAAATCCATTAAAATTCAAAATTATTATACTGTATATTAATTGTATATAAACTCGAAATAGATAAAATTATTGATTATTATATAATGAAATATTTAAATGTAATAAATGAATTAATTATTATTATACTATAAATGGAAACCTAGGTATGCAACGTATAGTTTTAATGTTGCCAGGAATCACATATTGACATTCCCTTCCAACAGACCGCTTGGAGATGACGGACGCGGTGTCATAAGTAGGAATTTCTTCCGAACCCAATTGTAAACCATCATTCCTTTCAGCAACTGTAAAGCTAGTAGAGGTAATTGTTTCTGTCGAATTTGACACCTCAGGTTTTAACTCGGAGTGTGTAGTAAAAAGCATAGAGTTGTTAGAACTATCGCTTGTCGAATTCAAATGTTGTGCAACATCTACGAAACAGTTTATTGTGCAATTTAGATCTGTTTTATGTGTTGAATCCGTGTTCGTTAAATTTGTTTTTAGCTCGTACGTCGCCAAGCAATCTTTAATAATTGAGTTGTTATATGTAGAATTCGTGATATTTTTAGTGGAGCCCATTTCTACGGGTTTCGACTCTAAGTTTGGTGTGACAGTGATTAATGTGGAATTCACCTCGGGTCCGTACGTATTGGACTTGGCAGCAATGACGATATTCGTGGTGGTTTCCCATCCGTTACTCGTCACGTTAAAAATAGAGGGTTGGTTCAGCAACGCAGCCGAATGATTCGTTGTTGCATTCAAAACATGAGGTTTGTCCAAAAACGTGGCCGAATCGTTCAATGTTGTAGGTTCGTACTTGACGGTGATAGTAGAGTTTGACCACTGCAAATAATCTGATTCGTGGTTATTGAAGACGTTGGTTGATGAATTGTCCGTAGAATTAAACGGTGAATGGGAAGTGGAGTTTATAATAGGTGCAGCGGCAACGATCGTAGAACAGACGAACGAGACCAACAGCATCATAAAAAAACTTTTTGAAGTCATGATTTTATTATAGTGGATAAAACTGAACAATAATTAGCACTGGTCTCTGGTCGGATTGGTAATGTGTTTGTAGTGAAACGCTAGCCGTCGCCCGACAGTCACCGTGGCTAAGGGACTTCAAATCGAGACAGTAGAGGGCGTCTGTGTCACCTAATATTTTCTCCCTCTAGTTTAAACGTCGATCGATAGCCCTCCAACGTTATACAGCGGTTTATAATAAATCAAAAACTACTGACTTGACTACAACTGGATTGTGCGTAAATTCTGGTTATTAATAGATATATTGGATATACTGTGTGATGGTGATTGTATTATTATACTTAATAAAATAATCGTAGATTGATATCTTTATTAGATTGGAAGATTAAATGATAATTATTTATGTAGATTATATTATAGTCCCTGTATACAAAACACTTCAGTGATATGCGACCGCAATCGCGAATAATATTTTAAGTCACAGCCGCGATCGCTTAGTCAAATTGTACCGTACCTAACCAGTGGCGGATCTGAAACTCGCGATTGGCGAAATTATATAAGTACTGAAAACAAATTTCAGGGGCGGGGGCTTAAAATTGTTTTAATACAGATACCTACTATATACACTTATATTATTTACATTCAAATGTACACCACTGGATTCTCTGTTTCCCCCTGTAGTTACGGCCTTGGGTACTGTAGCTAAAGTTAAATGAGCCCCGTGCAAATTTAATTTGTGGGCCTATTATTTTCCATTAATATTTAATCTAAACATAGGTAGGTACTGTAAAAAAGCAATACATATCAATGTATCACCTTGAAATTTTTTAATTTTTTTCTATTAATATCCCGGCTGTCTGGTGTTCACGTAACCAGCCGCGTGATAGTACCAGCGAATTCTTAATAGGTTGTGTAAAGGCCACTAAACCCCCCTAGGTTAAGTTTGTGATGGGGTTTGTCAACTTGGATACTTATACAAATTAAGTATAAACACTGTGGTTAAAGTTATTAACCAGTGTTCAGTAGGGGCGTTTGAGGGTTACAACCCGGCCCGAAAATATTTTTTGTTACACATATGTATCAAAAAATATGATAACTATACGATTTTATTACCTACCTAAATATATTAATTTAAAGTAAAGTTTTTTTTTAAATATCATCAATTACAAAATACTAAAATAGCGTAAATTTTTGCGACTTATCTTTTCGTGATTACAATAATTTTTATTACACAAAAGTTAAAAGAATTATAATTTTGTTGAAAAAATGTATACATATAATTCTTAGAATATGATTGTTTAGAAGCAAATATTGTAAAGTTAAGTGTGAATGATTCCAAAAACCCAATAATTTTATAGTGTAAGTAAATATAGATTACTTTGAAAAATTAATTTTTTACGATTATATTTTTGTAGTGGCAAATATTTTGTAAGCAGTTGTCCATTTGTATTACCATGCCATATTTCCTTACATTATTAATTAATGCCAATTAGAATAGAATAATATGATATGTATGTATGATTTAGGTACCTATATTTGTATTGAAATTCTATCTAAATAATATTTATCTTATTTCTTATTTCTTGCTTGAAAACTCCTTTATATGTATACTTCTAATGGGAATCTATTTAGCTATATATATTGGATATATTTGAAAAATATACACAACAACCTAACAAGTACTGTTGAATTTTTAATCGCAGTACCTAAGTAATAACACTCATAACATAAGAAAATCATGCTTTCAAAACATTATTTTTAAATTTCCTTTGTTTTTATTAATCTAAAATAACAAGTATAATAAATATTTATGTTTTTTTTAACTAATATTAAAATATACGTATTCATTTACAACTTGGCCTTTTTTTCTTACGATGGTATTTTTTTTCCTAATATGGTTTTCGGTCAATGCCCTTTTTTCGTAATACCATTCCATTTAAGTGGGTAGGTACACTCATTATTCTCGGGTAGTCTTAACTTTTTCTGAAATTTGTTTTCTAGAACATTTTAGAAACAAGCTGCAGTACAATTTTATATTTATGTTATTTTTTGCTAGAAGGCTGGAACAATAGATTTTCAAATTTAATTCGTATTAAACATCCCGCGGTTTGGCATTTTATGAAAAAAAAAATGAAATATGAAGTTGCTGTGGATTGTGCGAAATTAGCATTAGATGATGTTGGAAAAATCAATAAAAAAACGACCAAAATTGGGTGAATGAGGACAACGGAAATAAGTTCTAAAGAACTTTGTGCCTGATCTGTAAGTGGCAAAATATATATTTCCGATTTTTTAAATTTAGTATGCCACAATATTAGAAAACAGTGTAATTATTAACTATATATGTAGATAACGATCATTTGAAATATTTTTGTACACTATAATTAAATATTTTATTTGTATTATTTGACGTATAATACAAAATTAAAGTAAAATTTATAAAATCACCTCAAATAATTATATTAAATTTTAAAAATTAAAGTAGAAGTATAAAAGTAAGTTAAATTGTATTCAACATTTATTTTAAACTTTGAACATAGATTGGTTATATAAGTGTACTTGTTGACTCGGTAATGCTTTGCTATTGCTAGATAATAATGTAAATAATAGTAATAATAATTATAGTTCTCTTGTCCGTTAGTTGTCATCCATGTCACCTAGTTAACCCATGAATAAACAAAAATAAATACTTAAAAACTTATATTTTACACCCTTAGGGGATGAATTTTCAAAAATTCTTTCTTAGCGGATGCTTACGTCATAATATTTATATCAAATTTTAGCCTGTTCCGTCCAGTAGTTTGGGCTAGGCAATGATGAATCAATCAGTTAGTCACTCAGTCAAGACTATAGAGTCATATAGAGATATTTGTAATTAAATAGTAATAATGTGGTAATTACACTAATTATCGTTTAAAAATATAGTTTGTTCAATAATTTTCATGTGGTTGTGAGTAAAATTGTAGTCTGGGGATTTTTTTTCCGGGGATTTTTTTTCCGGGGATTTTTATTCCGAGATTAAATAATTATACAGAGCGTCTCACGAAGGTATACTTATTTAATATTTCCAGATAAGATAAAGATAATCAAATTCTGTTTTTTTTTTTATTTCTATTACTTTCAGGGGTAATGATTACAAATACCTATATATAAAAAATAATATTTTTAATAATAAAATAAGAATAAACATAATTTGGTTTTCTTTATTATCTATGGGGATATTACAATGAGTATATCTTCGTGGTATGTAGTTTATGTAGGTCAGGTAGAGATAGTAAATATGTTGTATTCGATTTCCACTTTTATATTTATTAAACCTATGTTCTGTTATTGTTTAGAGCCACTATAGTTAAGTTAGAATTATGAGTACCTGACATATATATATATATATATATATATATATGTATAAAAATTGTACAAAACCACCAAAATGTACATATTCATCATTATGTTCACTACGTTTGAATCTCGGAATAAAAATCATCCAATCATTCTAATCTAGGAAAAATAGAATCTCTGTAGGAAAATTTTTAACACTATATTACCAAACTATGGCATTATTTATGGAAATATGTGTATATATTCAATCAACTTGTTAATATTATTATAGGTAATCTCTTGACAAAAATCGCGTGTAGCTATAACTTATAAAATACAAACAGCAGCTGAAAATATCAGCTGGTACTTACTTTATTGTACTCTATGTGGTGCGGCGACGCTTTTATTCTACTCTATACCTAAACCCGAACTAGACATATTTTCGACCTTTTATGTAGGTACCTATCATTGTTTCGTTATTTTATTGTGTATTGTCCACATGTGCTCGCGATGCCGCCTCTTCTTTCCTGATTTTGAATACGTGCCTACCCTTATCGGCTTTATTTCACAAATGTCCTAACCATGATTTATAATATAATAAATAGGTAGGTACTTGCATATTGTGTTTTGTAGCTGCAGCAGTTTTTCGGATCATGTTTTACAATAATATATTACAATTTACCCCCATATAGTGTGTGTATGTAGGTGCTGAAACGAATAATATAACCGTCCCAAATACTGCGTCGATGTATACCCAAATAATACTATTTTATTTTCCGAACAAAAAGAGTATAGACCACACACGACACACCGAGTAAGAATGAGTGTGTGTGGGGTCTATAGCAGAGTATATATACTATATATAGATAATACAGATATCGTTTATTCGACGGAAATCATTTTTAAATTAAACAGAAATATGGTTGCAATTTATGTAAAACACGCATCGTGTTCGAAATATAAAAATTCAATTGAATATTTTTCTAATAATATCAAAAGGTGCCCACAAAGAGGCAGGGGGAACACTGTCTAACTTTCCAACAAGTTAAAATAATTATTTCCAAATTCAATATTTCAAAATCCCAAAACTAATTATTGGTACCAAGGTACACCTTAATTGGTACCTAGTCAATAGGTATACTTCGTGATAATAGGATTCCACTAATTTATTATCACAATACCAATATCAACCTACCTAACCTTATCACAATATCAATAATGATTTATGCCCTATTCCCGTTTTTCTTTACGGTTTTTCAAATTTGATGAGTTAACTTTTGAGAAAATCTAAAAATTACCATCTTAGGTAATAATACTACGATGTTTTTTTTCTGCGGATAACTTTTCTACCAGCTCAAACTTTTATTGATAGAAATGTTTCTAAAAGGAAATTTCTCCGGGGAGTTACTTTATGGAGGTCGTTTCTCCATTTTCCTCCGGAGGTTTTTAGCAAATGTGAAATATTAGGAAAAAACATAGGAAAACCGGAAAAATATTAAATAAATAGTATTAAAGAAAACATATAGAGCCTATTTAATTATTTTACTATTATATAGTGTATATTCGATGTTGATAGTGTTGACAAAGCATCACTATCAACTGAACTCCACTCAGAATAATTTTTTCGTAAGCAATGGTTTATAGTTGCTTTCAGGTATACATTAAATTTAAGAAACACATGGTTCTAAAATGTTACACTAACTATTATACAATTACTATTATAGGAATGCGATAAAATTGCCTAAAATTGATTTTCATTAAATTATATTGAAAATTTATTACCGTTATATAGCTAATATTCTAGATTTTCACTGTCATTTTTAGTTATATTATCATTTTAAGATCCAGTGATGCCATATGAAATTATGTTAAAATTAATTTTTTAAAATTTTAGTAATCTACTCATTATTCATACTTTTATATGGATAAGCAATTTAGGTTTACCAATTGATTCAGGCATAGTCTAAAGTAAAAATATCAAATTCCTTTA